AATCAATCAACACGCTCCTCTCAGCAGCTCCAGCGTTCAATCATTCAGCACGACCCTTGTCAGCAGGTGAAGCCCTCAAATCAAGCTGCAATTGAAATGTCCCTTTTCCCCGAGTATTTTAGGAACTTCTCGCCCTTGCGGTACGATCAAAACAGTTCAAGAAGTTGGTGAGATTGTGTTCTGTCAATCAGAAAGTTTTTTATGTAAAGAGTGTTTTGAGGTTTTCAGATGAGCTTTTCCCGACACAATCTTCCACGCGGCAGTTGGTGTGCGTTCATGTAAATGTATAAAAGTACGTACAAAAGCCATTTTTACAAAGAAGTCACTCGCGGATTATCAGTAATTTGAAAAGTGTGCCCTTCCTGTGTTGCATTATTTGTCTTTAATTGCCAGCCTCCTAAATTGCTTCCCATCTCGACGGAAAAACATTAAAGCTATATGTGTCTTCGGTGCTGTTACGATTGCAAATGCCCTTCCCAAAAAAAAAAAGAAAACTCTGAAAAGCTCTTCCCTCTCTGAAGTATTATTCCTGCTAGCTGCAGGGCTTAATTTATTCAAGGCTGTTAAAAGCAACAAAAAAAAAAAAGGCAAAAAAAAAAAAAAAAAGAAAAGAAAGGCTTCCCTACTCAAGAGCTTGATTGTTTGGATCTGAATGGGAAACGCTGGTAGATTAACTCGACATGGATGGTGCACGCACTGCATGCAGATGTAGTGATCTGTAATCTATGTAATCTTCAGCGCACAAGGGCAGTACGATGCTCTGCTCACTCAGTGGAGGAGGTTTTCAATTCTGCATGAAGAATGGTTTGTTCTCTCCCGTGTGTGTGATTCCTTTGAATAGCTCTTCTTTTTTTTTTTTTCCATCCACACAGACCTGCACCCACTTCCCTCTCATGCTCTACCTGTGCACACAGATGCATGCTCTCTCTCTCTCTCTCTCTCTCTCTCTCTCTCTCTCTCTCTGCCTGCTTTTCCACTCCTCTGTGGTGTTTCACGCTTTCACAGCTTCCAGTCTGTCTGCTTTAGCTACGGGAATCTTTGCTGACGTCCCCCCGTCCTGCAGCCACAATGACTGAGAGAGATGCTCCAGAGGCGCAAGGGGGGGGGAGATAAGAGCGAGGAGACAATCGCATTAAGACTCACTTTACCCTCCCCACCAACCAAGACCAGAGGTTGGGATTTGAATGTTCGAATCTGGTGCGCTTAAATCCCCTGCATGGCTGTTTGTGCATTTCCCAGACTGAGCACATTACCTCTGCCTCTGCAGTCTTAGCTGCTCGCAGTTTAAGCCAAATTAACACGCCATCGTTAAGGGAATAACATGCAACCACGAGCACCCAGAGCCCCCCACCCTCATCCCCTCTTTCTTTGGAGGGAGTCTTGGAGGGTGACACTGCGGCTGGTGTCAGCACAGCAGTGGAGCTGTCAGCGCTACAACACAACATGCTGTTCGAATCCACGGGTGAAGCCTCTTGACATCAAAGGTGGCAGACAAAAAGGATCCGTGTTTCTTTTTACTGTTGTCTGCACCTGTCAAAATGGTGTGTTTAGGGCTTTTTTGTTGTTGTTGTTGTTGTTGTTTTATGTGCTCTTCCTGCACGCCGGCCTCCATCGCTTTGCAGCACCACAGAGACCCCTGGTGGAATTGCACGGCATCGCAATTAGTGTGTGTGTGTGTGTGTGTGTGTGTGTGTGGTCCAGGACAAACCCTAAAACTTATTCTCTCCATGTCCTTCACACTCACACAGCTCTCCTCTCTAAGCTGTGGGTAATATTTTTGTTGAGCCACGAGACAAAAAAAAAAAAAAGTGTCCCCCACATCACGGCCTTCCGTATCTCCAAACCAGATTCTCCCTGTTAACGGTGTAGCTATCATCTGAGCGCACTAGACTGCACTAGAGGGCCAAATTAGAGCAGGCCTTGGTAAAATAAAATCCCTATTATCTTTGAACTAGCAAGTACCCAATTATACGCCACAGTTATCTCCCATCTCACAGACTTCTGAGTCCTCGCCACAGGGCCAGCGAGCAAGGAGAGCTAATGAAGAGATGCTGAATCACCTTTTTGCCTTCCCGGACGCACAACTGGTGGAGCCTCCTTGATCATCGGCGGCTTTTTCGACGGATCAGAGCGATTCCCCCGACTTTGATGATCCCTTTTTTTTTTTCTTTTTTTTTTTCCCTCTCTCTCACCCTGTCGCAGCGCAGGGCCACACATTCATGGACGTGGCATCGGTTGTAGCGCCGTGTGTGATAAGTGTGAACGGAAAGTGAGAGGTCTCGGAGAAAAAAAAACACGTGTTTAAAGGGGTTGTTTCCAGTCGCGGAGGATGTGCATTCAAATCAGGCAGAGTTGAAGGGGATGTGAAGGAAGGAGTTTTACTGTTGTCATGGAACTGATCATCTAAAGAAGTCTGTTTGTCCATGACATTGCCTGGTAATGGAGAAAAAAACCCACCTCAAATGGGTTGATCTGACTTTTCTTTCTTTCTCTTCCAGTCTTGCATTTGCTAACTGGAATTTCTGCCAGTGCTTCTGTTCAAATTGCCACTTAAACAGCTTTTAGTGCGTGCACTTTAGCTAAAACTTCAGCTCCTGTGTGCGCGGATTCATTTCGAGTGCTCCCAGGAATCAACATTTCATGACATTTAAAGGTGTAAGTTTGCAATTCTGGAGAAAGACTGTTAATATTTAGTCAGGTAGCGTATTTAGACAGCAAGCATGTGCCACATTTACCGTCGTCCTCGCTTCCCACTGCCCCTCGTTCCAACTGTCCTGTGCAGAAGGATTAATATGCACAAGCACGAGTGTGCACAGGACAATAGTAGAATCGTGTTGTTTCCTCTTCACACCAGATTTTTGTTCAGCGCAAACACAGAGCAGACAGCTAGCGGCCCGTGAAGACATATTTGTGCACATTTTCTTCTAAAACAGTTTTATTACTTGAGCTCAATATATGTGGCAGTGCTAAGGTGCCATTGGGGTGCAACTGAGGATCTTCATTGTTGATTATTTTCTTGATTAGTCGTTTGGTGTGTAAAATGTCAGGAAATGATAAAATTATTGATCCAAAGTCTAAGATGACCTTCTTAAATGTCTTGTTTTCTCCACAACCCAAAGATATTCAGTTTACTGTCATGTATTCGGGGAAAATATGCAAATTTAAGAAGCTGAAATCAGAGTGTTTGGACATTTTTCTTATATATTCTTAAATAATACCTCCAAACAAGTAATTGATAACCAAAATAATTGGCAATTAATTTGACAGTTGCCAACTAGTCGATTAATTGATTTATTGTTGTAGCTTTAGGGGCCATTGTTCACACGTTAAAGCTGCACAAATCAATATTATTTCATTAACACTGCATTAAGTTACTGTGTACAGCCCTGCAGCGGCGCTGTTTTGGTTCAATTTCACCACATCCGTCGACTCCGTTCCCAGCAGGCAGCTTTTTATAGCAGAAGAGTTGTGACAAAAACAAACTATATGTTACCTGCCCCGTCTCAGTGGCAGACACATAAATTATCAGCTGACTTGTAAAGAAAGCAGAACTCAAGTCAAAGCTGGTGGAGGCCAAGCAAAGCTAAAAGTCCAGCGGTAAAAAATAAAATAAATAATGCACACATGCACTCTTTACACACATGGTGAATTATTGATGTGCATCATTTGCATATCTTATATATGAAACACTTTTATCTCCATGATTTTCTATCAGTAGTTTACATGCAGAATGCTCAGACCTGCTCCTCTTTAAACGTTGAAGATGCCACACTTTACAAATTCTTCAACATCTTTTTGTCTCTCCGTTTAATTTTATTTCTCTTTTTATCTGTGGTCTGAAAGAGTCAATGCTGATACGCTATTATGTTGTCTTTGCAGGTTTTCACTCCGCTATTTGTTTACTTTTTTGGAACTTCACAGCTTCTCAAATGGTGGCCATGGTTACTAAATATCCGCCATCACTGTGCAATATTAAGACATTAAAAATAGGTGGAATTGCTGCAATAAAACTGGGGTGCAATCAAGCCGCCGCACTGCAGCGTTGACCTCCACTGGCAGTAATAAGCACTCTTTGTTTTCTTACACGTGTGACAAGCTGCATGCTACCAGTTGGAATAAAGGCCGACTTAATCGGTGTAGTTTCCAGAGATCTTCAAGGGTCTATGGATAATGTGCAGGTGGAACTTGAGCTTAGAATGTACAGAAAAGTGTAAAAAGTCAGCACGCATTGTGAGTCATACCATATGGATTTATTAACAGTATGAACCACTTCCCTTAAAAGCTATACTTTTGTGTTTAGAATTTACCAAAGGGCTTCCTGTTGGATCTGACAAAGAAAGCGGCTATTGAAGAGCACAAGAGCTTTTATAAACGTACGACAGTGGTAGAAAGTTGGCGTGAAAGAGGGTTCAAGAGAGCGTTTTAAAGTTTAAGAGGCCATCAGAGAATTTTAAAAGGGTCTAGGATGGTTTAAGATGGCACCTCTGGAGAGCGAGAGACGGTTTAGGAATTGATGGAATCAGGACGGCTGTTATGGAGTTTGTGAAGTGTAAAAATTGGAGTCTGGAAAGAGAATAGGTTTAATAAGTGTGTGTCTAGATGTTCAGAGCGGGCGCTTGTTGAAGCAGGATCAGATATCACCAGATATCAAACCATCTCCAGGGCACGACACACATTGTGATCTTTTATTTTTCATAGATTTTTCTCTGTTTGTTTGTGTTCGGCTGCCAGCACCAATGTTGGCCAAGAAAGTTCTACCCAACACTCATCATACGACGAGTCCGCTGAGGTTCTGCTGGAATAATTTGAGGGGGAAAAACAAGTGATTTTTCTACAACTTTTGTTTGTTTTTATATCTTGTTCGGATAGTTGATGGTGCAAGAAAAACCACAATGCAACAGTGCATCACGCTTAAACATCCGGATGTTTTTAAATTATCCAAATTCTCACCAGACGTGTCGATTCAGGCTCCTTCATCTCTTGTCTCTTATCTCCCACAGGTAGTCCTGTCAACCTGACGTGCAGAGCGTTCTTCGGATACAGCGGAGACGTCAGTCCGCTGATCTACTGGATGAAAGGGGAGAAGTTTATCGAGGATCTGGATGAGGAGCGGGTCCAAGAGAGCGAGATCAAGTAAGCGCTTCAGTGCCTGGTCTGGTCTAATTTTACCCAGTGTCCACATTTGGTTAAGTTACCAAAAATAGGCTAGAAAATAAAATAAAAAGATCATAAAGGCATCACAACAGAAGGAATCATGGGATTTTCAGATTTCTAATCATGTGTGACATGCACTTCTGATGGGAAAATTAACTAAATTTAAGAAATTATGATATCTTGGGGCCCTGCGATAGCTCACCTGGTTGAGCTGGCGTCCCATGTACAGGGGCTAAAGTCCCTGGTCGTGAGTTTGAATCCGGCTCGTGACACTTTGCTGCAGGTCCTTCTCCCTTTCTTCTCCCCCACCTACCTGTCTCTCTCTTCACTGAACTATCCAATAAAGGCACAAAAGGCCAAAAAAATAACTTTAAAACAAAAAAGAATTATGACATCTTATCAGAATCACCCTATTCTACATGCCTCATGTACCAATTTACCAAAAATACAGCCTTTGCAGCAGATACTGTCAAAAAAAAACCAAGCTAAATAGCCTGGACTGACTCAGCTGTGACCAACGTGTTTGTTATTGACTGAACTGCAGGCAGTGTTTACAGAGCAGCTAGCGTATAGAAATATGGAAACAAATCAGAAAGACTGAGAGCAAAACAAACTTGATCAATAAAACTGATGCAGCATGATGAGAGGAGCGGGCACGCTGTGATACATTCAGCATGGTGAAGTCATTATTATTGGTAGCACTTGAGGGAACTTCAAACAATGTTCTAAATACTGATTCCAGGTTTTTTTCCATTTTTGCAATGTAAATAATCAAATAAATTGCATTAGGGCATTATAAGACATTTCCGTGTTCTCCATACATCTAGCAGTGGTTTCCATGTTTCCATTGGTGCAGGACTTTACACTGCAGTGAACAATGAGTCCACGATGACAGGAGTATCCCCAGAACGTGCTGGGGGTTTCAGAAGGCAATAAACCAGTTAATATTTCAGCAGAGCACTTTTAATCTCTTCAAAAGCAGAAAAGGACCCCTGGGCTGAATTGGTAAACACCTGTTTAAACCTAGTTACCACAATTGTGCGACCGCGCGTCAACACACCGAACAATAAAGGGAACCTTTCACTGCCAAGTTATCATCTAAACGATATTCATGAATGCTTTATGTGGCTGTTTAATAATGCAGACTGCTATGCATTCTTTATCATGTACGATATATATGCACGGCTCAGGCATTGCTTCATCAGTGGAGGTGATAATGGCAGAGCGGCACAACAGATGGAAACGCCAATTGAAATGTCCGCGTTGGCCTCCTTTTCCGTTTGGGTGACCTCCATCTTTTGGCTTTCACTCATCACTGGAAGGTCTGTTTATTCCAAACTCAGGTGAAAACCCGACGGCCAGACGCGCACACACAGCACCTGAAGCTGGTTGATCATCCAACACTGCAATCTAATTGGCTTGCTCTTTAGTTTCGTGCTGCATTCAAGTCCTGTGAGGTGGGGGAAAAAAAAAAAGCACAATTTTCTAAAAATGTTGCACTCCTCTGGTTTTTAATAAAGAATCACATTTCAAACAAAGCAAACATATGAATCCTCGCCTCGCTTTGCAGTAAGCCGCTTTTGATGACAACCTTTCACACAGCTTTGTGTCAGGAAACTTGGAACAGCAGCGCTCGCCGTGCAGAATAAAAGTTGATCAAGAGCAGCCAGACTGATTAAAAAAACCAGCTTCAACTTGCTTGTTGCCTTTGGCTGAAGTTTGTTTTCTCTCTTTTGGCTCACAATATGTACAGGTCATATGGAGAAAAGTGATGTTTTAGCTAGAAAACATTGACATATGGAACTCATCCGGAGCTGGTTTTATTGATTTATTTAGGATAAACCACAGACACACTGCAGCAAACGTTGCTCGCCTTTGCTAAAGGAGGCTTTCAGTGGGTGTTCGAAGTCTGTTTTTCACCTTTGACTGGCGAGTTTGTTAGTTTTGCTGCTACCTCCTGATACAACTTTGAGTAATATATACCATCCACGGGAGTCAACAAATGTCCACGCAGTTTTTATATCATAGCACGGTATAAGCAGGCTGGCATCAACAGGTTAAAGCATCATTTGTTGGAGCAGATGAGCGGCAGGTCGCACTGTGTGTGATTTCTTGCCAGAATTGCAGTGATGCTTTATTGTAGGCCATCTGGAAAAAGGTCAGTTTCTCTGTTTGCTTCACTGGCAAGATCAGAACATCACTCCAACACTGAATCTTACTTTTTTTTGTGAGGAAGTGAAGGTTAATCAAATAGTAGATTAGAGTGTTCATCAGCCATTAAAAAAAACTGATTTTGTTAGAAGATGTGTGAAACAGTGGAGGTCATGCTGTTAGTATGTTTAACCCTCTGAACCCTGATTGATTTCTAGGCTTTTTTTTCTGGCTCCTGTCACACTTTTACTCACTGTGGGCTCATTTATCACTGCAGTATAAAGTTCTGAAGCTCTGTGGAAACAACCCAACGGTGGTGAACTCAATAATGCCCTTTGTCCAGTGTCACACTGTTAAAATGCCAAGGAAAGTTGGATTTCTTTGCTTATTTCATTACAAAATGTACCTGAAACCGGCTTGTCTGGCATTTTAAGTGGCCGCAGATGTTCCCAACACTGTAAAAAAAACTGTTTGTTTTTGACCAGTTTTTAAACCAAATGCATAAAATAAGCTGTTTTGATGAAATATCTAAAAAATTTTACCTTTTTCCAGTGAAAATGTGTAGTTCACGGACCGGTGAATCGTAGAAAATCCGTCGATTCCTTCTGTTTTCAGTTTCTTGCTCTGACAAATGGTGTTATTTTGGTTATTTTTTAATGAGTTCAGAGGGTTGATTACCATCTTGGATCTAATTCATCAGCTAGCATTGTTTAATATTTATTATATTTCACCTTTATTCACTCAGGCAGCCTGATTACGATCAAATGACCCGATGTGGTCTTTGTGAAGAAAAGAGGACCATAAAATATTCCAAAAAAAAAAATCGAATATACAAAATAAATGTACCGTCAGACGTGGAGGTGCGAAAGGTGTCGCTTCAGAATTAACATATGGCAGCAGAATGTAATGTGTTTGTGCAGTGATCTGGTCACTGTCCCCCCAGATGTTGTTGGAAAAATGCGAGCGCGCGAGATTGTAATTTATTGAGTATTAGCAGTGAAGAGGAAATTCTTAATCCTCAGGAATGTGTTTCTTTGCCCTGCTGTCATCACCAGGGCATTAAGAAAATAAGGTAAAGGCAAAGGTGTGTCGGCTTTAGCACCTAAAGAAACAGAAGCATAAAGACGTGATCATTGTTTGGTGATGCATGGTGTTGGTTTTGTTTGCCCGGCTTTAAATATCTGTCTGTGAGTTTCATTTTGAGAAACTCTGTGACTGGAATATTGTTTGCATTGTCGAAACAAAAAGGGAACCATAGTCTTGTTTGTAGAAACAATTTCCCAGTTGTGTATAGAAAGTAGCTTTAAGGTCTGATGTATTTCCAGCTGTGAAGTCAGTATAGAATCCAGATAAACAGAACATTGTTTGAGTTTGAGTAGTTAGTCAATGCTTTACACATTTGATTTCACGTGTGTTTTGCCAGTTGAGTGCCTTTAATGTGACGCTGCAGGACAAGTCAATAATCAGCTTGTGTTAGCAGCAACTAGACATATGACTGTAGGAGACTGATGTTAAACAGTGAGGCATGGATATCAATATAATGGTTAAAGTAGATGCTTAATGAAAAATAACATTAAAAGCCTTGAAATAGCAATAAAATTTCCATTTTTCTAACATTTTCTGACACAATGCGTTCGGATAGCAACAGCACCATGTTTAAAAAGATATTTTTGCCGCTGCGTCCACACCGAAATAGACACATCACACACCCTTTCATCTCCCGCCCCACCGCGCTCCTCTGACGGACCACATGTATGACTAGAAAAATCCCTGTTGTCGACAAATGCCGTCTAATGAAAAGGTTAACTGTAAGCAGCGTGACAAGGCTGGGAGGAGAGCTGGCGGCCCAGTCAGTGACCTGGCATTTCGAGATGTCTCTATTAGCCTGCTAGCACGCTCCGTCCGGCTCTCAGCGCCGCTCTCTGTTGTGAAGGACACGAGGCCAATTAGAGCCTAGTGGATTTGAGGGGGCGGCGGAGGACGGGGAGAGAGGGGGGCAGCGGCAGGTGGCGGCATCGGGTAGGTGGTACGCAAAAGATGAGAAGGACGAGGACTGAGGAGTGCACCACATGCGGTTAGAAACCTGCTTTCATATGATAGTTAAATGAGGTAACAAGCCAAGGAATCAAAACTGTGACCCTGAGCAACTTTGAAAGTGTGTGTGTGTGCAGACGTGAAGAGGCTCTTATTGTGGGTACCTCCACATTCAAGTATCTGAAACGCATATTTTTGTTGTGTGCCACTGCGTGATACTGTCTCCCTCTGTGTGTTATTGTTTTTTTTATTTATTTTTTTTTGCTCCCATTTGAATGTGCGCCACTTCAAACCCACTCCCTGACATCATTCCATGAGCTTTTAGCTTTGAAATGGAAATTAATCACACAGGAGTATTCCCTGAAGGACTGCCTGTAATACATGAAATGGAGCTTTTGGCACAATGTTTCGCCACCGATAGTCAGGGTTGATATGAGATTTTGTGGCTGCAGAACAAGGCCTCGTGGATCTCTGAGGTTGAGGTCACGGTGCACGACTCGCGCATAAAAGGCTGCAGAAGTTTAAAAGCAGAAGAAGTTCCGGTCCCCGGTGTGCACGCATAGAGCACCCTTTTGAGCAGCAGTTCAAGTGTAAAATTTCATTTCATTTTTTTTTACTTTAATTAATGCTCTTACAGATATATTCATGAGACGTCGGGGTGCTTTCATGGTCCAGCAATGCTTCTGCTGCAGCACAGTCTGACATTGATGCCATAATGAAACTCTAACAGAGTAAACCTTTGTGCAGGGTTTACATTCACGATTTAGTGCATGTGGTGGGGGGAATCGGCTGTC